AAAAAACCTCATTTACCTACTCAAATTAAGGGTAAATAGACTTAATTTAAGAAATGTTCACTTATTTCTAGATCGTTCTTCCAGTGCAAGCACTGAACTCAACTTTATTGTCAAATGTGCTACACGGTAAACATACAACACAGATGAAATTGCAGTCCTCTCAACCCCACGGTACATAATAAAATACAATGAACCATAGCACAAAAAATAAAAACCTAAGATATAAAAATAAATATAGGTATCTGCTCGGATAACTAAAAATCTAACAACGAACTAGTTTAAATACTAAAGAAGATTACAAATGTGCAGATGGGAAGTGTAACTTTGACAAAGTAACATTACAGCGGTCCTGATGGACGACTGATGCAAATAGTCAATGTAAACGATGTAACTGTAACATTTACAGCAATTATTATTACTGCACAGTACAGTGGCTATAGTGCAAATAATGCAGATGGTAGCATGAGCTGATTTATTGTTGATTCTGTTCATGGTGGAGAATGTTGAGCAGGTTGAGCCAAACATCCTCTAAATGTGCAGGGTCATCTTTGAGCACGCCATTTCACTTTTCTTTCACCAGTTCACCGCAGTTCTTCCAGCAGTCCACACTTTCTCTGCTCTCTTTTTCTCATGGTCTTCTCCTTCTTTCCCATCGCCCGGCTCGCCACAGGTTTGCCTGCTGTGTCTAAAAGTAGCAGCAGCAGCAACCCAGACTGACAGCTCATTGGCTCATTTGGATCATGTGCAGCCTGGAGCAGGACGCTCCCCAGGGCTTTACCGTATTAACAGGAGAAGAGGTGCAAGTGAAGTTAGACAATGTCGTCAGACAACATGCAGTAATTTATAAATGTTTTAAATCAGGTTGGGTCCGGATTAGGACTGCGGTCTGCTAATCCGTGACCTCTGGTTTATATAATTCCAGCTGCTTCAAAGAAAAATATGTAGAAATAAGGAAGGACTTACAGGCATTTTAACAATTTTCAACATTTTAACAAGCGTAAAAACATATGAAGCTTTTGTAAGATATTATTCCTGATTCCATATTTGCTCATAGACTTGCATAAACATGCTCATAGTAAATAAATCATAAAATAAAACAAATGATTGAAGATGAGTTTCAACGTGCAGGTACAGTAAACTATGAGCTGCAAGGTCGTTATTAAAAAATATTACACCAGCTTGACCCCATACGCCTGTGGAAAATTTCGATCAACGCCTAAATTATTATGCACATTACTATTTGTGCATAGAAAACATTTAAAGCCAAGGTTTTTAAAACTTTTTTTATTTACTGTCGT